CCTGTTCGGCTCTACTACATCTTTAACATTCTGAGCTGAACTGCTTCTGCGATCTTCTGCTGAAGAACTGAGTTCTGATGAACTGAACTGAGGTCTGTCTTTCTCTTGTTAAGTCTTAAGTTAAGCGGGAAAGACTGACCAATGAGGTGCGTCTTGCGTGGGGGTGACATGAGGAATGTGAGTTTGGTGGGGGATGTTATGATATAGCTCTCACATTACACTAGGAACATTAACAGCTTTACAGAAATAAAGTATTCACATTACATTTACAAATCAGTATTAAAACACACTGGCAACAGTTCAATGAATGAATCGAGTGTTTCATTCCTTTACTTTCTCTGGAGAAAGTTTATTGGCTTGAGATTTAGAGATTGTTCCATCAAAATCCCATAGTGTCTTTTATCTGTTGATTTTAGTCAGTGAACTCACTTCAGTCAATTGATTTATCAATAGCTGAACTTTATAGAAAGTTTGTAAAAAGGTCTTTAATCCTCGAAATCTTGAATCTTTGTGTGTTACAACATGCAGGGATGTCTCTGTTGAACACAAGTCAATAAATCTTGTTTTGGGTGACAGGTCCAAGATAAGGAGGTTCAGACAAGTGGGGGAAAGGTATAGTGTCTCAAAGTTAACCCCTGTCAGAAGCGTTGTCCAAACTTTGGGCAAGTCTATATCCTAAAATTCGATATCATGGTAACAGCCATGATTTCACATCTTCTATAGGTCAAAGGTCAGTACCCTTACAAATGTGACTGGTTAAATGCTTTAATATGAAAATACATGTCTGGAAGCAGTGCAACAATCAGAAAAGCTCTGAAAGGAAGCAGACAGACCATTTGGAATTATTTAATAATAATATAATTAACATCAGTCTGTGATTCAGATCATTTTTAGGCCAGCAGAGAAGGCCTTGCAGGCCCTGACGCCCTGCCACTGCTGCTCAGTCTGAATGTCTATTTTTCTTGGTATTTTTGAGCTGTAAAACCACCTGTAACTGAATAAACATAAAGAAGAGCTATTTAATGTCATACTGTGGAACATTATTATTATTTTTTAGTTGTAGTAGTAGTAGTTAATTCAGTCATTTTGAAGCACTACTTATAATGCCTAACCCTATTAAACAATGACAGAATTCCAAGAAAGAAAGCAGCGTATGAACAGCAAGTTTGCATTGACAATTTTACTTTCGACTTACTGAAGAGACAAAATGTACAAACAAACAAACATGTAATACATAATTCATTCATTCCAGAGCTCTATATCTTTTCAGAACATACACACTTTTTTCTTAGTTCTTATGTTAATAAGATGGCTTTTTTTTTCCGGTTACTGTCGTACAAACTAAAAATAATGTTAATGAAGGCACAGAAATTTATCGTTTCTGATCGTACAAGATAAATCACAATGAGAATGAAAAAATTTAAGGATTTTTTTTTTTTTTTTTTCCGTTTATGGTCATACAAACTAATAATAATGATAAATAATGCACAAAATTGTTTAGCACAAAATGTATCATTTAACATTCCAGGCAGAGCAGTGCCATATCCATAGCAACAAGCAGATGAGGGACCCACAACCAAAAATAACACAAGGCACCTTTAAGTAAGGTAAGTGAGTAATAAAAAAAAATAAAAATCTTTAAACATACTATTTTAACTAGTTACTTTTATACACATTTTAGAGGCTTTTTTAGATCACTTTTATACAAAACTTGATCAGTTTAAAACTTGTGAATCCTCAATCTGCATACTCTGAGCACTGGCCAATCAGAGCAGACTTTACTGTCATGTGTGTTCTTCTGCGTCTCATTTCTCTTTCCTTGCTTCCTCCTTGATTCCTCTCCTCAATCCTCCATTTTTCAGCTGTCAATCAAATGCGCTATATTAAGTGGTGTTCCAAAGATGATGAGTCTCTGCATGGGAATGTCAGCACAGACTCCTTGCACAGTACAAATATGGGAATAAGTAAATTATCTGGACTTTATTTCTGTTTCAAGTGTATTTTTTAATCAAAGCAGAAACTAACGAATATGAGAGGAAAAGGTTGTTTTCCTCAACAAAGGCAAGGCAAGGAGACCACAGAGGAAACTTGAAGGAGGGAACAGGAGGCAGACATCTGATAAAATAATAAAACTGCATTTGGCTCACAGTGGTGAGTTTGTATTATTGTAAGAGCACAAGTACAGGAACAGTGGCGAAGCAGGTTTCACGTGTTACATAATCCTGAATTTGAGATTAAAAGTAATTTTAACATATAACATTTATTACTAAATAAAGACACTGGTCTGACTTTAATTAAAAGTCCTGAAATCATAATATAAAATAATATTTAGTTCTCATTATAGAGTAATTTTGGTCAGAACCAGTGCCTGAGGAAAGACCATTCACCCTGAGCTCGTGCCTCCTCCTCTGCTCCTCTCTCCTCCTCTCTCCTCTCTCCTCTGATCCTCTCTCCTCTGCTCCTCTCTCCCTCTCTCCTCTGCTCCTCTCTCCTCTGATCTCTCTCCTCTGATCCTCTCTCCTCTGCTCCTCTTCCTCCTCTCTCTCTGATCTCTCTCCTCTCTCTCCTCTCTCTCTCTGCTCCTCTGACTCTCCTCTCTCTCTCTCTCTCTCTCCTCTCTCCTCTCTCTCTCTCTCCTCTGATCCTCTCTCTCCTCTGCCTCTCTCTCTCCCTCTCTCCTCTCTCCCTCTCTCCTCTGATCCTCTCTCCTCTGATCCTCTCTCCTCTGCTCCTCTCTCCTCTGCTCCTCTCTCCTCTCTCCTCTCTCCTCTCTGCTCCTCTGATCCTCTCTCCTCTGCTCCTCTCTCCTCTCTCTCCTCTCTCCTCTCCTCTCCTCTCTCCTCTCCTCTCTCCTCTGCTCCTCTCTCTCCTCTCTCCTCTGCTCCTCTCTCTCTCCTCTCTCTCCTCTCTCCTCTCTCCTCTCTCTCCTCTGATCCTCTCTCTCTCCTCTCTCTCCTCTCTCTCTCTCCTCTGATCCTCTCTCCTCTGCTCCTCTCTCCTCCTCTCTCCTCTCTCCTCTGACCTCTCTCCTCTCCTCTCTCCTCCTCTCTCCTCTCTCCTCTCTCCTCTGATCCTCTCTCCTCTGATCCTCTCTCCTCTCTCCTCTCTCCTCTGATCCTCTCTCCCTCTGATCCTCTCCCCTGATCCTCCTCTCTCCTCTGATCCTCTCTCCTCTGATCCTCTCTCCTCTCTCCTCTGATCCTCTCTCCTCTCCTCCTCTGACTCTCTCCTCCTCTCTCCTCTGATCCTCCCTCTCTCCTCTGATCCTCTCTCCTCTCTCCTCTCTCCTCTGCTCCTCTCTCCTCTGCTCCTCTCTCCTCTCTCTCTCTGATCCTCTCTCCTCTGATCCTCCTCTCCTCTGATCCTCTCTCCTCTGCTCCTCTCTCCTCTGATCCTCCTCTCTCCTCTGACCTCTCTCTCTGATCCTCTGATCCTCTCCTCTGATCTCTCTCCTCTGATCCTCCTCTCTCCTCTGATCCTCTCTCCTCCGATCCTCTGATCCTCTCTCCTCTGATCCTCTCTCCTCTGATCCTCCTCTCTCCTCTGATCCTCTCTCCTCTGATCCTCCTCTCTCCTCTGATCCTCCTCTCTCCTCTGATCTTCTCTCCTCTGATCCTCCTCTCTCCTCTGATCCTCTCTCCTCTGATCCTCCTCTCTCCTCCTCTCTCCTCTGATCCTCCTCTCTCTGATCCTCCTCTCTCCTCTGATCCTCTCTCCTCTGATCCTCTCTCCTCCTTTGCTCCTCCTCTGCTCCCCTCTGCTCCCGTCTCCTCTTCTGAGCCTCTCTCCTCCTGTGATCCTCTCTCCTCCTCTGATCCTCTCTCTCCTCTGCCCCAATCTCCTCTGCTCCTCTCTCCTCCTCTGATCCTCTCTCCTCTGATCCTCTCTCCTCCTCTGCTCCTCTCTCCTCCTCTGCTCCTCTCTCTCCTCTGCTCCTCTCTCCTCTGCTCTCCTCTCTCCTCCTCTGGTCCTCTCTCCTCTGATCCTCTCTCCTCTGATCCTCTCTCTCTGATCCTCTCTCCTCTGATCCTCTCTCCTCCTGTGCTCCTCTCTCTCCTCCTCTGCTGCTCTCTCCTCCCTGGGTCTCCTGTCTTCTCAGTTCCTTGCTCCTCTGCTCACTTTTCAGCTCCTCTCTCCTCTCCTCCTCTGATTCCTTTCTCCTCCTCTCCTCTGCCTTTCTCCTCTTCAGCTCCTCTCTCCTCTGCTGTAATAGTCCTACTCACAATACGCAGTAGAGTCATTTGTCTTTGCACTAATCAGAAGCACACTGCAGCATTATTACGCCAAACACAAATGCACTGTGTTCGTTTAACCAGCACACTGACTGTTTATCTGATATGCCACATCTTTATCACCAACTCTTTAGTCAGTAACCACAACACTGTCCACAAACATCCGCTCTGATAAGACTGACGAGCGGCTGGACAGAATAGTTCAACACCAAACAAGACAAATGTTTCCTTCAATCAATCACAGCTCAGCTTAAACGTCAAAATACTCAGTCAAAACAAAGACGCATTAGTAAATACAACTATGGTCACGTTAATGGCACAAGTGCTAAAGCGTGCAGCTAAACTGCAACATAAACATCGTGCAGAACTCACCACGTTATTCATTCCTCTCTCCTGTCGCGCTGTCACTCTAGATAAACGCATGGTGTCCTCGGAGTTCTGCGCAGTGTCTTAGCTGTTCCTGCTGCACTTTTCTGGACTGATGTTTTTCCTGGGATTTGCTGTAGCCACCGAGTGCTCCGATGATCACTGACGCCTTCACCGTCCAGGTTCTTCTCCAGGTTCCCTTCTTTGAGCCCCAGTACTCAGAAATGCAGGGACTGTTCGATGTTTTTGCATGTTTTCTACTGTTGATTTGACTAATGTGTCCAAAAAACACACAACACAGCACACCGTGTTCAGCCATATTGGTGTATTTATTGCTACTGTTCAGCGCCGCCTGCTGGTTAAGGCGTATCGGACAACACTCAGAAAAGTGAAAGTAAAAGGGCTCAGGTGTGGATCAAGACGGCGAAGACACGCTTAGCTTTTTAAATTTCAGTTTAGTTTTTAGTGTTCGTCTTCAACTAAATGTTTTTTTTTGTGCTCGTGTGTACACTGGCGCTTTTTGCCTTCGCAGAATGTTCAGTCGGTAAGTAGAGTTACCGGTTGTATTGAGTATCGCACACTAGGATTCGCCTGTTCTTTACTTGCGTTACCTTCGTTAAGTTAACAGTTTCATTTCACAATTATGAGAAGCCTTCTCTAGATTAAATCAACATTAAAATAAATTAGATAATAACATAATAATGGACTTCACCCAGATAACTGTTGTTTTTTGTTTGTTTGTTTGTTTTTTCCCTATTGGACATGGGTGATCCTTCATTAGTGGACGTTTGGTTTGACTGTAGTCCGGGTTTAGTTCTCGATTTGACAGGTTTAGGCTTGACCTTACGTCCATTTTCGACATAAACACTTTAAATTACTTTCTATTTTTCTTTCAAATTTCAATTAAACATGAATTCTATAAATTGCATATAGTTTTAGAATGAAGTTGTGTTTCATTTTCTTTGTATTTTAACACAAAACTCAGTTTCCATCGTCTCGAATTGAGCGAGTGCGGGTTCGTTGATCCAATGGTGGATTTTTCCATAGGAAAATTGCCAGGGCCGAATTTTGTTCCCCGTCCGACCCTGACACTTTTCTTTACACTTTTCTGGCATAAAGGGAAGGATGTATACATAATTTAATAATATTACAGTTTTATCGCTTCTTTAAATCTAAAACAGTTAGCAATAGTATATACCATTTTCTTATTTTTTAAAAATCCAACTTTTCTGAAAAGTTCTGAACATGCACAAGTGTGATGTACTGCAGTGTGACAGCTATATTTCACACCCGAGGGGGACAAATTGGTCCATCCAACAGCCAACCAAGACCAGTCAGGAGAGCAGTCCACCAATCAACTGCAAAGGCCCTCACAGCAGAAATTAAGACAGCCAGAAAAAAATAAAAATACATTAATTAATTAAAACACCCAAAACAAGGCCTGGGGCCGTTACAATAGACATGTTAGAATTTTTAACATGACACATTTATAATGAATGTTCTGCTGGGTCACTTTACAGGGCTTGTTAAAATGTCTAAAATAAAAAGAATTACACACACGCGCTGCATGCGCACACACACACAAAATGATGTGATGTTTGTGGAAAGGCTTCTTTACAACTGTTATAAATTTTGTTACAAAAGCGTGTTACACCACAGGACAGAAAAAGGCATTACACCCCCAACCGTCAAGTATAAACTATAAACTGTCAAGTATAAACTATAAACCGTCAAGTATAAACTATAAACTGTCAAGTATAAACTATAAACCGTCAAGTATAAACTATAAACCGTCAAGTATAAACTATAAACCGTCAAGTATAAACTATAACTATAAACTGTCAAGTATAAACTATAAACCGTCAAGTATAAACTATAAACCTGTCAAGTATAAACTATAAACCGTCAAGTATAAACTATAAACTGTCAAGTATAAACTATAAACCGTCAAGTATAAACTATAAACTGTCAAGTATAAACTATAAACCGTCAAGTATAAACTATAAGTATAAACACTTATAGTCTATATTTTCTTGTTGAATTTTGACCAAATTTAGACCAAATTGTGTGTGTGTGTATGTGTGTGTGTGTGTGTATATATATATATATATATATATACATACATACATATATCATTGCCAATCTGAGCCCGATAACAAGATCTGTTTTATGTGATTCTTGATTATGTGAGGATTATAGTACAGGTGTAGTCTGGTTTGTCTGGTGCCCTGCCTGAGTTTCTACCTCTCAAAGAAACACAGATTTCAAATCCAAGATAAACAAAAGTGAAAATATAGGAAGCTCAAGGAGTTCCTTGCCCTTCCAGTGTCATTTAACTAATACAGAGCAAGTAAGTTTATTTAAGTACTGTACTGTAGAAGGGTTATTTTACTTCTATGGGGTGATTACTACTAACACGTAACATATTTATATCACCATGTTACCCTTATTATTTTCAAAATACTATATTCACCCAAAGGATTAATTGTGATTCATCTTGCAGCTTCACTCAAGCTTCTTATAAAACTAACCCTCTCCTCTGCTTCTTTGACCCTCTAGTTCAGACCTGGGCATTATACAGTTCCCAGGCCACATATGGCACTTTGGTTGACTCTGACCGGCCCATTTAAGCACATTTGGAATTACAAAATATACAAAAACGTATTTTATCATTTTAGCTCATGTATGGACTAAAGCTGCATTGCTTTTATTTTAGAGTTTTTTTAATGACATTTTTTTGTAAAGTAACCTCAATTTTCAGAACATAAACTTGTACCAGTCTTACCAGCTCGTCAAAACAATGTTATTTACTGCTTTTTTAAAATAAAGAAATACAATTATTAGTATGTAGAATTGAGTTGAGCATTCTAGCCTGGCCCTCCACAATATTTTCTGTTTCTCATGTGGGCCCATGGAAAAAATAATTGCTAACCCCTGCTCTAGTTAGTAAATAAACTTGTGATATTTTCTGTTTTTTTTCTTTTTACAGAAGAGATATGGTGTTTTCCTCAGAACATGACTGTAAAAGTTGGCAGCAATGTAACACTTAATTGTACAGTCTATCCTCAACGTGATGTATGTAACGATACTGTGGAGTGGAAATTGGAGTGGTTCGAAAATTTTGATGTGTATGCACGGAGGAATGGCATGGATGATTTAAGTGGACAAAATCCAATTTTCAAAAATCGGACCAAACTTTTCCCTAACGAGCTGAGCAACGGGAATGTTTCACTCCAGATCTCCAATGTGACCAAAGAACATAATGGAACTTACACTGTCACTGTCCAAGAAAAACAGTTAGAAAAGAACGTCACACTTCGTGTCATACTTAGTGTCATATTTGGTAAGAATCTTCTGCTAATGAACTTCAGTGATTCATGACTTTGACACTGCTGTTGTAAACAGTTTTTCTGTTTTGATTGTGTTTGACAGAGGAATCTTCCAATAATAACACAATTACAGAAGAGAGTCCTAAAAATTGTAAGTTGCTGATGGGGGATGTAAACTTTGGTAGAGAACACACACACACGCACACACACACACACGTGTCCAGGCACACAGAAGTTTGTGTTGCTTTTTAAGAATAAAGAATTAAATGGATCTTTTCAGAGAAATATGCCGCTCTTGCTTTTAAATTCTATCGACTATCAGGAGGGAGAGAAAGAGGGAGGGAGAGAGAAAGAGAGAGAGAGAGGAAGAGAAAGAGGAAGGGAGAGAGAGAAAGAGGGAGAGAGAAAGTGTGAGTGAGAGAGAAAGAGAGAGAAAGAGGGAGAGAGAGAAAAAGGGAGAGAGATAGAGAGAGGGAGGGAGAGAAAGAGGGCGAGAGAGAGAGAGAGAAGGAAAGAGAAAATGGGAGAGAAAGAGAAAAAGAGGGAGAGAGATAAAGAGGGAGAGAGAGAGAGAGTGAGAAAGAGGAAGGGAGAGAGAGAAAGAGGGAGAGAGAAAGTGGGAGAGAGAAGAGGAGAGAGAGAGAGAGAGGGAGGAAGGGAGGGAGAGAGAGAGAGCAGTAATTTTCAACATCAGATAAGTAGTTATTTCAGTATGTGCCCTTATACTATAATATAGATCATTAGCTTTCTTTAAGGAAAACTCAAACTTTGTCCTATTTATGTTTTTTAGTATTAACTTCAGTATTAACTCTAATTTGATTCTAGTTTTAGTCTTTATTATATATAGTATCTAGATTGATAACAATAAAAAAAAAAAAAAAAAAAAAGAACTGGATTAAAGTCTTTATCTGTGTAACCGAACTGATGTGTGTGTGACAAAAGGAAAGATACATTCTGCAGTGCTGTTTCTATAGTTCTGAACTTTTTATTTTTTTGTCTAGGTACAAAGGAAAAGATTATTATTGGTGTTTCTGTTGGAATCTTCGTCATCTTCGTCATAATCGTCGTGGTGGTTTTCGTTATTTTATACAAATGTGGTTGCATAAAAAACAACTCTGGCACAGCAGGTAAGAAAATTCAAAATGTTTAAGCATAAAATCATCAACTGAATAAACTAAACTAAAGAAAAAAACATTTTCTCTTTTTCATTTGTGCAGGAAGCAAGAAAAAAAACGAAGATGACCGAAATGATGGAACAGAACTTCAGATCTTCACAGGTAATTCATTAAAAGTGACTTAACCAGGATTAAACCAGAACTAAACCAGGTTTAAGCAAGGCCTAACCTAGGACTAAACCAGAACTAAACCAGAACTAAACCAAGACCAAACCAGGACTAAACCAGGACTAAACAAGGACAAAACCAGGACTGAACCTTGACTGAACCATAACTACACCAGAACCAGCACTTCTTTTTAGTTATTAAAAGAAAAAAATAACAAAAATCTGTGTTTGTGCAGAAGCATCCCAATCATCTCCTGTTGGTGGATCCCAGGACACCCAGGAACCTCAGGAAGACAATCCAATGCTGCAGAACAACATGAACTAAAAGAGCATTTGACAGGTTTTCATGTTTTTCTAATTATGACTTGATTTGGTGGGTTAGTATCTGTGGTTAGTTTTGATCATAGTTTTACATCTCGTAGTTACATCTTACATCTTATAGTTTTACATTTTGCATAGTTAAGTGGCTGTTTGTTTTGAAAAAGTTAAGAAGAAAAGTACAAAAATACTGGGAAGTAGCTGTTATAGCATGTTATAAGCCATTTTCACCTTGGAGTTAATAATCCAATGAGCTCTATTTTGGGCATCTGTGTAATACCATACTCAGGAAGCATGGACTATGTTAGGGTCAAAGGCTGCTAGAGTACAAGTGATGCTCTCTTTTTGGTGCTTGTGACTTCAGGTTTCTGTTGTTTAATGTAAAATAAGACTTAAAGATCTCTTGAAAACCTTCAAATCTGGACTCAGACTTGAACTTTAACAGTCACATCAAATTAATAACATCTGCAGCTTTTTACCATCTGAAAACATGGCAAAAATCAAAGTTAGAGGGCTCGATCTTAACCCCGATTTTAGCACTAGCGTTAAGGAGGGGACGTGTCCAGGTTGGGCTGCACTTTGCTGCTGGAGACTGGAGTAGGACGGTACAGGTACATATATGGTGATGACATCTTAACCAATCTGTTACTGCTGTAGCATTTCAAAGCACTGCCCATGTGGGTAAAGTCTACAATCTTTACCTCATTATCAAGCAGCAAAGAGGGGTGTGGGGAAAAGTTATAGATGAGTACGATAAAACACCTCCAGAGGCTCACACTCCAGTAGAGGCACCAGCAATATAGAATTTTAGTTGGGGCCATGACAGAACTGGCTGAGTTTGTGTTCTGAACACTCGTGTGCTCCTCTCACGTGTAAACCTTTTTAGTTTTCTCTGTGTTCCTCATATCATGTTCCTCCCATTACACAGTAGACCAGTTTCTCATGCGCTCCTCATCCCTCAACAGACCCACTGACAGTGCTCTCCCCCACGCATTCACCTGAGGTACGAGTGTCAACCACTGTTTCCGCTGACCGCTCACATTCTCGTCTCTCAGGTCCACTGCATTTGGTCCCTCACAGGTGGATGTCTCGCCGATTATAGAGTACGTTTAGAGTCATATAAATATTTCTGATGTTACCACTTTGTACACATACATGGATTAAACCAATAACACATGGGGAGGATGACTGCATGACCTGCATTTGCCCTACACAAGTGACTGATATGCGCCATGAGCACAGAGTAGGATGCGCAGGTCTTTACAGAGCGGTGCTCATGTGCATTATTCGTTTCTTGAGTCACTCTACTGACCGAGAGAGCAGCACATCTGAGATGACCTGAGATGTCTGAAACTCTTGTGTCACAGCCCTGAGCTGTCAGTGAATGTGCACTGATCACTGTCAGAGTTCGACCTCGAGAATGTGAGGAAATCGACATCACAGCATTAGGACACAGACAGGGTAAAAAAATACACTTTAGAACATCGCTGTAAATGGCCTCAGGTGAATGAGCAGCTTTTGTACAGATCCAGATCAAACCAAACTGTAGAGCAGAGCTGAGCCGATACAGGGAGCGGGCGAGGGGCTGTGCTCTGCTGCTGGAGGGCATCCGGACAGCGCACAAACATCCCGTACAGCACACTAACATGTTATGAATGTTAAGCATTTATCATCCTAATATATTTCCACATAAAGAAGCCTTGAGCACGTTACATGCTGTTTTTCAGTGGAGTCGTTTGATATTTATTTTTTACCATTCTGGCAATTCACTGAACGCGCCACACCATGCCCTCAGTCTGCTCCATTCAACCTGATATTCAGGCACGACACACCTCTTGTTTAGAGCTCCATGCCCCACACTTGCACTAGTGATAACACTGGGGGTAAGATCGGGCCCACACTGTCTAAAGCAGACGAGGAGAGATTTATCCATGCTTTTGTCTCCATTAGGTTAGACTAGTGCAATGGCCTCTCACTGGCCTCACCAAACGAGCTGTGAGACAGCTTCAGTACATCCAGAACGCTACAGCTCGAGTACTGACTCGAACCAGGAAGCACAAGCACATACTGTAAGTCCTGTGCTCAGGTTTCTGCACTGGCTCCTGTGACTCAGAGAATAAACTTTAAAGGAACTCTGCTTACAAGTCTCTCCATGGCCTAACAACATGGTTCTGCTGGTGCTATTTTATGCTGCCTTTTATCCAGGTCGTAATTGTAAATGAGAAGGTGTTCTCAGTTGACTTACCTTCCATCTGCACTCTGAGGATCTCAGGGTCGTGGATTAGTCCTGGTTTAGTCCCAACTAGGGATGGGCATTCGATGAAATTTAATTAATAGATCGTTGGGAGAATTAACAATAGATTTTTCGATTAATCACTACTGTTTTTATACTAAAAGTATCATCATTATTATGACTATTACGCATCTGCATAAATAAACTCACCTTTACAACATATAAACCATAACCACTGTAGAGACACAGCTCGTTTAACATTATAATGTGTTTAATGCAGCTTTGCGCAAGAAACAACACTTGAACCGCATGGCTAATTTGCATAAACGGGAGGAAAAAAAAACAAAAACTGCTCTTGTGCACTGACGTGGTTTAGCTTCTGTCAGACTAAAGAACATGACTCAGTAAAATATGAGTGTTTTTTCTGTGACAGAGGGATGATGATGCTGAAGGTCAGTCTGTTCTGTGTGTGTGTCCTGTTGGAGATGGTTCATGTTTCTGTGGGCTTCTACCCTGTGTTTTTAAAGTTTCATTCATATGTTAATACGCCCTGTAATTTGCCCTGTTACATGCTGTGTATGTTTTTGGACTTTGGAGTGTCAATGGTGAATGTATATGGGACAGATAAGGGGTGTGTCTCCAACCTTTAGCATCTGTCAGTCTGTTATGGGACACGTGTTGGGACAAAAGTGCTGTGTATTTTTCCATAAAGATGTTAACTCAACAGTTATGCTGGTATAAAAGGCACCCAGTGTTTCTGTGCATGAGTGGGGGAACGCCGACCGCGTTGTCGAAGGACGACTGACGCACTGAGAGACGCCGCGTAGGCAAAATCATGCTGAATCAACTTGAATCTTGAGACCTGAATCTGCCTGACTCAAATAAAGAGACATGTGAGACCTGTTCTAACTCTCCAAGTCTCTTTCTTAACATCCTCTGTTCAGGCTGCCTCCAGGAGAAGCTGACATTTCCAAAGATCAAACGTGTGCAGTTTTAGTGCAACTCTTTATGTTGCAGTAACCGGGCTACAGCATATACCTACACCAGGATGAAACCTGGATACAGATGTGCATGTAAACATACTCACTGAGTGGTACAGTGATCTCCAAGGAGGAGCCAGAGCCCAAACGTGGAACTGAGGCCGCAACTCCAATGTTTACGCTGTCAGATGCAGCTTTGTATCTACAGACAAAGATTTTTCGATTTGTTGATTAGAAATGAACGTAATCGACGAAATTCTTAATGATCAATTATTGATTAGTCAACTAATCATGCCCATCCCTAGTCCCGGCCTCCTGTTGGTGCCCAGACTCAGGACTAAACATGGGGAGTGAGTGTTTATGCAGCTAAAACCTGGAACAGTCTTCCTGAACACGTGAGACAGACCTCTGCTCTGTTTAAAGGTCCCATATTACTCTATATCTGATCTATGTTATAAAGTTGTTTCCTCATCGCAAACAGACCTGGAGTTGTGTCCTGCATATTTAGGCTGTGTTCTTCTCTCAAAACAGAAAACACTCTGTTCCAGCTTCTGATGTCACGTAATACAAGCAGTGCTCCACTGTGTTTTAAACTCCACACCCCTTCACTAGAATCATCTGGATTATTTCAGACCTGAAATTTCCAATCTCTATTGAACTAAAGGTAAAAGGAGCTCTTAACTTGAAATCTACCCCTTCATGACATCACAAGGTGGAACAGATGTAGACAGACTAATAATAAAGAGTTACTCAGACTTGTGTGAATAAAACAAAACACAAATCCAGATATGTTTTTGAGAAGGTAACATTATAACATGGCTTAAAGCTCACAAGAAGCAATTTTGTGTAATATAGGACCTTTAAATCCAGGCTCAAAACGGTTCTGTTTACTTCTGTTAATACTGTTATAGTTAACACTTTTTTCTTATAATGTTGGTTTTATGATGATTATATATATATTTTTTCTTTGTATTGTGATTTTAATTTAAATTGTATTCTGTGAAGCACTTTAGTTACGAACTGTGCCATACAAATAAACTTGCCTTGCCAATGTTAAAGCAACTTGACATAAAATGAAATTTTGGGGGCATTTTTGTATATTTTCTATATATAAAAAAAAAAACTACTTTTGTACTGTGTGTTTTGTGTGATTATTTATTTCATTACTTATTTGATACTTTTACAAATAAAACAAAATGAGAACAGCGCCTCCTCCCACTATCATTAGGGTCAGTCCATATGGAATCAGATGCCCTCCCCTATGAGTCATCTCAGATTTGGCTGAAAAAATTGAAACTGAAAAAAACAAATGAAAGATTCTCAAATTTTTGTTCAATCCCTTCAGTTGTTCCTGAGTTATGGCCTGTTGAAATTTTGGGGCCATAGTCATTTCTTTTGGAAGCCCTAATTTATAAGAATATTTGAGAGACCATAACTTCATAAAAATAGAGCTAGGAAGCTGAAAATTTGTATTATTGTAGATTCTTGGTAGATTCAGAATCGTTGTCAAAATACAGATACAAATTAAGGCTCCCGGAAAAGTGAGCATGGCCCCAACATTTCAATGGGCCATAACTCAGGAACGACTCAAGGGATTGAGCTAAAATTTTAGATTCTTTCATTAGGTGATTTTAGACATTTTTTGAAAAATTTTCAACCAAATCTGAGATGGCTCATAGGGGAGATTCCTTGAAAACGGCTGATTTCATATGGACTGACCCATTAGTCAAACAAGATTTTAAGATTTTTAAAGGTACAATTAGCTCAGAATATTATAAATCTCCAATTTGATTAAAAAAACAAACTTATGAGAATGCTACTGAAAATACAATATGGAGCAGTCACCCTGACACAAGTAGAACATGTAAACTTTACATAGATACCTCCAAGGCCTGGGAATTGAACCAAGGAACTTATAGTTGTGTAAAATTTAAAGAAGGTAATGTCTACTTAAATGATAACTTCATTCTTTGCATTTGACCCATCCTTCACCCAGTGCCTCTGGGTCAGCTGTCAGGAGCAGTGAGCTGCTGCCACAATGTGCTCAGGGACTTTAGTTAGTCTTGGTCAGGACATTTTAGCTGGACATTTTTCATATAGTTCTTATTTTAAGCAAAATTATGTGCTGTTGAGACAGATTGGACTGAAAAATGTAAGAAAACACAACATCAGGTATGATTTTGATTATTTAAGCTATAACAGCCTGTGACAAAGAGGGCCTTTATCCCCATTTTTCACCTTAGTTCAGTTACATCTATCTATATCAACTAAACAACTAAATAATAACTATCCCGGGTTTGTTTTATTTAGTCTTTGTTTAATTGATCACATTCACACAGTTTCTTTAAATTCATTTTATTTGGTTATATCTTTTCATTTTTGTTTAAACTTACCACCTTTACCTGTGACTCCACATGGTCTGGGAACAAAAGAGGGGGCGTGTCCTTTGGCAGCCATATTTATAGGCTCAGAAGAAGGCTTGTGCTGACGCAGGAACAGATTCACTGGACAACCAGCAGGGGGCAGTCGGTGGAGAACCGGAAGCACAGGTCAACAGCATGGATGAACTGTCAAGTCTACTACACCTACTCATGCAGCAGCAAGATGAGCAATGGACTAAAATGCGCAGAGACATTGCCAACCTCCAACGGGAGGTGCAACAAGGTCGTGTAGCACAAATGGATGGTCCAGAAGACCTGAGAGCAGAGGAACTTCCAACCCAGAGCTCTCATAATGACCATATGTATTCCAGGCAATCCAGCACCATGAGAAATTACAACTGGAAGGGCCCTAAAATGCAACCGTACACTGATGGTGAAGGACAACTTTGCACTGGACTCTCATTTTGACCACTTGGGCCAGCTTCCCCACACAGCTCTTTAAGACCAGTGTGTGAAATTTCAAAACCTGCTCTAGTCCTGGTTTAGTTCAGTTTTAGTTCTTGCCTTTTTTGATGTCTTTTGTTGTGGTTGTAAACATGTGGTTGTGTTTTGTGGTATAGTTTTTTTTTTATTTCTTGCAGAAACATGCAGTAGTAATTGTAGTAGTAGTAGTACCTCTAGGTCTACTGCTCATGCATAAATGGCAAGATGAGCTTTCCATTGCTCAATCTCAGGCTCATCTACGTAATTATTGCTGATGATGTGGCCTTGTCATTTATGCACAAGCAGTAGACCTACTCCTAAAGGCACTACTACTACAACAATGATGAAACAAACCAACAGAACACAGGATGCAGACAGCTCCTCTTTGGTTTGGCCCGGCATAAAATGGATTTCTTAATGTTAGATCTTCAAAGGACTGAGAGATTTCCTGTCTATGTTGAAAAGTAGCATAAGTAAATGTATTTCAGTTTGAATATGAATTTAACATTCGTCTACTCTGATTTGTGTTTTCACAGCTATGACGTAAACTGCAACAAAACAGTTGATGCAACAAAATGGCAGCTGCTGCACACGATGGTGGGGGCAGTCTATCGCTCTGATAACCATATATCTGTAAAAATATTGGTGATAAACAGGGCTGAAACTAATGACTATGTATAATTATTATGTTACTAATCTTTATTATTATTATTATTTATATTATTATTATTGTTGTTGTTGTTGTTGTTGTTGTTGTTATTATTATTATTATTATTATTATTCAATTAATCTATTAGAATGAAAGTTTTATTTTAGACTGCAGCTGCAGTGATGGAGCTTGAGGACATATTAAGAGAGTATTCTACATACTAAATAGGTGTTTCTTTAACAAAGCTGAAATTTACACATTTCCTGTTTCATATGGACATATGACTCATATTATTTTTGTCATTCACAGAACTGAAGCTGCAGAGATGCAGAAGTATTTCTGAATTATTTCGAGAGTTCAAGTGTAAGTTGACATTTTTTAACCCAACTAATAATTCGTAATGAACCCAAACTTAAAGGACTTTCATAACTGACTTGTTTTTTATCAAAAATATACTATAACCAGTTAGTGATATAATGTTTAAAACATAATATCATATCATGTTTAAAACAGTGCCCTTTGTTAAAGGTTGTATAGAGGATTTTCCAAGGAACGAGAAATCCAGCGACTGTTTGTCCTTTTTCAAAGTTTGCACATGCGTGAAACCACCCCCCTCCCCTATACAGCTCCTACGTAGAAACCTCCTCCGCTCCTCTTACGCCGAAACGGGTTTGTTTACAGCCGTGCGCACATGACTTGTAACAACTAACTACAGTGTTGGTTAGGCAAGACGAGAAGTGAGGGGGGACGGGTGTGCAGACATTTCGTTCGCGACGAGAAGTGAGGAGCAGGGAGAGAGCGGAGCAGGGAAGAGGAGAGGAGAGAGGAGAGGAGCGGTGTGCGGAGATTCGTGCCGGAGAAGTAAGGAGCAGGGGAAGAGCGGATCGGCAGCGGGACAGGAGCAGGAAAGGGGAGCAGAGAAGGTTGCGCGGAGATTCAGTGCGAATGAACAAGCTACAACACGCAGCAGCAAGCGGACTCTTCTTTGCCTTGCAAATTACGTTTTCAGACATAGGATATCGCTTTCGTGTCCTGAAAACGTTTGTCTAGCTCTTGGAAATAAAGTACGTTTCATAATAAGCAGAAGTGACCTGTCAGGAGTAATTTGTGGACCAGTGTGTCAGTCTTTTAGACCCTGCGTCTGCTTCAGTCGCGCCATCGCTGAATGAATCTACAAGAATCACCTTAGTTTGGCTTCGCTGCTTTTCCCCTTGTCTTCTTCTTTCAGCGACCTCAAAAACGGACTTTCTTTTGCAGCTAACTGCTCCTGGATTCTTGTCGCCATTGCAACAAACTTTGTGCGAACTGCGAGGAAGATATAGGTCAAAAAAAGCCGCTAAGAACTGTTGCGTTGGTGGGTAACAGCGTCTGTGCGTCTTGCGTCTGTGACTGCGTGACAGTCGTACGTAAACCACGTACCGGCGGCGCGCGCAGGCAAGTCAGTTACCTAGAAACGTAGGGAGATTGATTGACAGCCTGTCAGCTCACAGATAACGAGGCAGTGTCGTTATCTATTGGCAATGTTTAGCCCCACCACGTCCAGAGTTGATGAATTTTATTCTCTTTTTTTTGGTCATCATAATTACAAGGCTACTGCACTCTATAATGCATCATTGACAACTTGAAACAAAAAAACAAAAAAAAATCCTCCATACAACCTTTAAGTAGTTTACTCCAAACTAGGGATGGGCATTTGATTAAATTTTATTAATCAATCGTCGGGAGAATTAACTATCGATTTTCGATTAATCATTAACGTTTTTATTAACCGCTGCTGCGGTTTAGCTTCTGTCAGACTAAAGAACATGACTCAGTGGAATATGAGTGTTTTTTCTGTGACAGAGGGGTGTTGATGCTGAAGGTCAGTCTGTTCTGTGTGTGTGTGTCGTGTTGGAGATGGTTCATGTTTTCAGAGATCAAACGTGTGCAGGTTTAGCGCAGCTCTTTATGTTGAAGTAACCAGGATACTGCACCATGATGAAACCGGGATACTGATGTACATATAAATACACTCACTGAGTGGTACAGTGATCTCCAAGGAGGTGGGACATGGGACTGAGGCTGCAACTCCAGTGTTTGTGCTGTCAGACGCAGCTTTGTATCTACACACAAAAACCTTCATCCAGTTTGTCAATTAGAAATGAATGTAACTGACAAAATTCTTAATTATCAACTAATCATGCCCATCCTTAACTCAAACAGACTATTTCTCACACAGTATGCAACTTCTCATGCATAAAATAGAAAATAAAAGCATGTTTTATCATTTTGGTGTGTTTATTGCATTGAAAAACATGCATCGTTACTGTGCGTGAGCTTCTCCACAAACCTGACTCTTATTTGGCCTGGAGAAGATCCTCATCCAGCTTGACATCTTTGGCTATAATATTCCAGAATATTGAATAAAACATATACATTACTATGGAGAACATTTGTTTTGTATGGCTTTAACTTTCTATTTCCATGGAATCGTGCAGGGCATGCAGGGGACCTGCCAGAAAATGACATACACCACCTTTAAATTGCTATTTTCCTCACGTTAAGGAACACCTTAACAGAATAAAAAGGATGTGTATCTTGTGAGCAGTCACAGTGACACTCTGTGATTTATCAGTATGAATGTGGGTGCTCAGCACACTCAGATTATGCTTGTGTGTATGGCAGGATTGGAGCTAAACACAAATTCTAATGAAATTTGTTTTCATTGCAGTGGCTAATCTTAGAGTGCTTCTTCTGGGAAACAGTTGGACTGAAAGAGCTTTGGTGGGGAACCTCTTGGCCGACAAATATGTTTTTAATGAAGAAGCAGAACCCCAGGGCCCTGTACAATATAGGGTCCAACTGAAGGAAATGACAATAACTATCATAAACACTGCAGACATGCTCCATCCAGACCAGACAGATGACCAGCTAAGCAGGTTAGTCGCTGAGGCTGCACTGGCATCTAACCCGGGGCCACATGTGTTCTTCTTGATTCTGGAGCCAGAGACTTTCACAGAACAGCATCATCGGTGGCTTCAGTTGGCCCTGATTAAGTTCAATAAGCAGTCTTTTCACCATGCATTTGTGCTGCTGTCAAGAAGTGGACAGGAAGTGTTGGAGAGCGCTCATTTACAAAGCCTGATTACAGAATGCAGATTCAGGTACCAGTGGATCAAACACTCTGAGGACCAACAACTAAATGCATTTAGACGTAAAGAGTTGTTTACACGACTGGTGCAGATAGTCAAAGAGAATTCTGGAGAGCATTTGATATATGACAACTTTGAAGGCCCTACAGGTTCAGACATATGTAATGTTGGCACCAAAGTAAAGGAGAGATTCACTGGCCTCTACGAAACTGTAAAAAAAGGTAAGTGTAATGAGTATTGTGCATTATCTGGATGTATTGCTTGGTTTCAGTTGACATCACAACATTCTATAGGTCAATATTAATTAACACAGATGGGGGTCAGCTAAAATCTGTATTGCTGAAATGCTGATTTGTTTTGTAATACAGTGAGTTTTTGGTCTAGTCATAAAAATGATCAGGTTCAACATTTGTGCACTTATTTTTTAGATATTTGATGGCAAAGTACAATGTAATCAATAGAAAAAACTGACCCTTGCCTCTCATCTGAGACTATGACATCATTACATTCTAGAATCTGAAAACTACCAATCTGTTTTGTAAAGTGGCTTTCAATTATTATTTTTTTTTCAGAATTACTTCCACTTAAATCCAGTAAAAGTCACCAAAAAGGTAATTTTTCCATGTATATCGCATTAACACTGCAAGTCCAAGACAAATTTGCATCAGTGGTAAAAATAAGGAAACTGTTTTCAATGTAATGAATGAGTCTCCTGCTTTGTTGGGTTGTACAATGTCACATTACAATGTTTAGTTATATGCATAAGCACATTTTGAGAAGCACTAGCACAGAAAAGTGTTTCTCAAATTGTGGGGGCTCCTCAGGTAGTACGTAACTTGCTCAATTCAAATATTTACTGGATGTATTGCTTTTGGCCTCATTTGGTTTATTGTATAGTTGAAATATTGTTATTTCAATTATTTGTGTACTTTTTAACATGTTGGGCCCGATCTTGTCCTTGAGCTAGCATTAAGGAGGAGGTGTGTCCAACTCGAGCTGTACTTCATTGCTGGAGACTGGAGCGAGATGGTATAAGTACATATATGGTGAGGACATTTAAACCAATCTGTGACTGTTGTGGCTTTTAAAATCACTGCCATGAACATATTATGATATTATGATACATGTTAAGCATGTTTCATCCTAATATATTTCCAAATAAAAGTAGTCATGAGGTTATTACATGTTGTCTTTCAGTGGACTAGTTTAATATTTATTTTTATGATTCTGGCAATTCACTGAACACTCCACACTACGCCCTCTGTCCACTCCACTCAACCTGATATTCAGGCACGACACATCTCTTGTTTAGAACTCCACGTCCCACACTTGCACTAGTGATAAGATCGAAGGCAAGATCGGGCCCGTTGTCAGTGACAAAAACCCTAAAGCTAAAACTGGACAGGAAAGTAGTGACACTAGCAGTGAGGATCGTGGGTGCTATTGCACAGAGCCTACACTTCAGTGTGTAAATTGAAATCTTATTTTCCAATCACTGTGTATGTGTACTTATCTATTATTTTGTTTTCCCCCTCAGACTTCCATTGTCGAGTTCTGTTAGTTGGACGAAGTGATAACAAAAAGAAAAGCCTGCATAAATATATAATTTTCCCAAAACCAAGTACTCAGAGTATCTCAAAAGTAGACATTGGGGAATGGAGAGGAAAGTTGCTGAAAGTAGTGAGATCTGCAGACATCTTCAGTATGACAGTTCCAGAAGTGATCAATGAAATGAGAAAACGTGTGATTGAGTGCAGTCCAGGGCCAAATGTGCTGCTGCTTTTAGTAAAGCCTTCTGAATTCACTGAGAAACAAAGAGAAACATTGAACTTCATCCTCACATTGTTTGGCCCAGATGCTTTTAAATACGCCATAATAGTTTTTACACATGAAGAAGGAAGAGATTGTGCTTCTCAGCTGCTTTCTGACTGTGGAGGACGATTCTATGAGATGTTCAATGAAAACCACAGTCAATTAATGGATATGATGGAAACTTTGGTTCATAAAAATAATGGATCTTTTGTCACATTGATCAATGCTTTTACTGGAGAAAAAAAAACACATCTAAACTTAGTTTTTTGTGGAAGACAAGGATCAGGGAAGACATCTGTGGCTCAAGCCATTTTAGATGACGCAGCATGTCATCCAGCTAAAAGCCCATCAAAGTGCATAGTGCATCGCGGAACTGTGTCCGGAAGGATGGTGTCCATCGTGGAGCTGCCAGCGCTGTCTGGAAAAACCCATAAGGAGGTGATGGAGGAGTGTTTGCGCTGTATCTCCATGTGTGATCCAGATGGGGTCCATGCTTTTGTCATGGTTTTACCTCTAAAAGCTCTCACTGATGAAGACAAGGCTGAGTTTAAAACAGTCCAGGGCACCTTCAGCTCCAGGATCAATAACTGTACTGTGATCCTCTTTACAGTGGAGTCAGATCCCAAGAGCAATGCTGTGGCTGAGTTTGTTACTCAACATGAGGAAATCCAGACCCTCTGTGAAAGCTGTAGAGCACACATCTTTTTTAACATCAGCGACAAAACACAAGTTCCTCAAGTGTTGGAAAAATTAGAAAAGTCTAAGGACTGTTACACAATGGAAATGTTTGCAGAGATTCAAATAGAAAGATTTGCTCAAATGACTTCTTCTGAAACTCGTAAGTACTAAAAACTGCACTGTGCTTTGTCTTTAATCAATCGTCTGAGACTGCATTTTTACCGTGTGGGAGGGGTCTGACACTATAATCCTGGTTTTTATTAATATTTTTATGCAATGGTATACTATAGTTTGACAGGCTGAAGTTAAATAGAGGCTACAAATACAAGAATATGACAATACATGACTAAGTAAAGACTAAAGCTGTTCTATGTTCTAAGTGTATCTAAAAATCCTTACTTGGATGCAGAATTTGACTGCAGTGTATTTGCCAAACTGCTAACACAGATCTCTTGGTTTTCAGGTGGCAGAAAGAGTGAGAAGACTCTTCGGATTGTTCTGATTGGAAAGACTGGCAGGGGCAAGAGCTCCTCTGGAAACACCATCTTAGGAAGAAATGTATTCAAATGTGACTTTGGTCAAAACGCAACTACCAAGAGTTGTGTAAAAGAGCACAGCAAATTAAATCACTGTTATGTTGATGTAGTGGACACCCCTGGTCTGTTTGATATGAGCATGTCCAATCACGACATCAATGAGGAAATGATGAAATGCATCAGTCTTTTGTCCCCAGGGCCACATGTCTTTTTGTTGGTGCTGGGAATCGACAGGTTCACCCCAGAGGAAAATGAGACCCTGAACCTGATCAAGAAAGGTTTTGGAAAAGACGCACAAAAATATACAATAGTTCTTTTCACCCATGGAGATGTGTTGGAGAAGAACAACACATCCATTGAAGATTTTATTAACAAAAAATGTGACAGATTGTGTCAGAAGCTTATCTCTGACTGTGGGAACAGATACCATGTCTTTAACAACTGGGATGAGAGTCATAAACAAGTACAAGTGGATGAACTGATCCAAAAGATTGAGGCTCTGATAGAGGAAAACGGAGGAAACTGCTACACAAACGAAATGCTTAAAGAAGCTGAGGCCGCCATTCAAGAAGAAGTGCAGAAACTGTTGAGAGAAAAGGAGGAAGAGCTGAGGCGAGAAATGCAACAAATGAGAGATAAACATGAACGAGAGATTCAAGAAATCCAAACAAAGATGGAAAAAGACCATAAGGAAACTGAGAAAGTGAGGGAAGAGAAGGACAGGGAACTACAGAAAATGAAAGCTCAGATTAGAAAAGATCGGAAGCAATGGAAGAAGAATCAGAAAAAGAAAGAGGAGGAATATAGAAAAGAAAAACAAATGGAAGAAGAAAAACGACAAGAATATGAACTGAATTTTGATTTAAAAACTCAAGAGACCAAAGACAAAATTCAGCAGGAGAGGAAAGTCTGGGGAAGAAGAAAGGAGGGAGCGTGAAAAACAATACCAAGAGGATAAAAAGAAGTGGATGGAGGAGCAGGAAAGGCTCGAAAAGCAGGAACAAGAATACAAAGAAAAACTGGAAACATGGACAAGAGAAAGAGAAAAAGATGAACAAAGGCGTACACAAGAACTACAAGAATTAGAGGAGAAACATATTCAACAAATCAAGTATTTAAAAAGAAAGTTTGAAGATGAGGCGCGAGTAAAAGCTGAACATTTCAATGAATTCATACAGAAAAAGGATACTGACTTTGCAGCTCGCATAGATGAACACTTGAAAGAAGTTAAACGTCTTAAAGATGATATTAAACGGAAAGAGGGTGAATATGTAAGCTTAGAAAACCTTAAAACCGAAGGTGAAACAACTTTGAATAATAGCATGAAAAATCTGCAGACCACACACAAGCAAGAACTGATCGATTTGGCAATAGTGGCCCTCATGGAAGAGAAGGAGAACCACAAGAAAATAAAAGAAGTCCAGAAAACGCACAAACAACAATTAAAAACATGTGAAAAGGAGATTTCTGATCAGTTTGAAAAAGAGCGTAAAACCAAACTAGGGGAGTTAAAGAAAAAACAAAACCAAGAAATGAAAAACTTAGAGGAAAACACGAAGGAAGATGACCTCCAATTAAAAAAGAAAGAGTTGTCTAAGAACCACAAACAACAATTAGAAAACCTGGAATGTGAGCTGTGGAGTGAGCACAAGCAAACGCTAGAAAGAGAAGTGGACAAAATAAAGAAAAAGCATGAGAAAGAAATGAACAAAATCACCAAGAATCTTCTGGAGAAAAACAAAGAATATTGGACAAAACAAACAAGCGATTTGGAGAAGAAACAACAAGAAGAGATGGACACGTTTATGAAAAAAGCAGGAGAAAAAGTGAATGAAGTGGAACTCGACCGACTGAAGACCAAACACCAAATTGAGATGGATCAGATCAAGAAGAGGATGTTTTTTGAAGAAGGGTTGTGCTCCATACTGTAGAAGTAGCAGGGATCCACTGTATTGTCATATGTTGTTATGGATATGGTATTTTGTTAAAGGTGCATTGTGTAACTTTTCTGATGGAGTGTCCGTCTCCATGGAGATGTTATTGCTTTGCCTGAATGTTTCACAGTAAGGCATTAAACCTTTCTATCTTCATGAAGACCAAACCAGACGAAGTTACAGGTCAGATCTGTGGAGAGGCGACCCTGCTCACAGTCAGAATGTCTGTTTTTCTAGGTATTTTTGAGCTATAAAAACACTGTAACTGAAGAAATGTAAGGTGGAGTGTTTAATGCCATACTGTGGAACATTCCAGGCAGACCAGTGACATCTACATAGAAATAAGCAGGTAACAGACCCTCCACCATGTGCTGAACACACATTGCTAGTCACAACTTTTTGCCAAAGTTAGAAATCAGTTTGACATAGATATAGGCGTGTTTTTGAAGAAATTGCATAAGTAGAGACTGTAACAACGATTAGCAATATATCTTTGGTAATATTGGAATTAATGTTTTTGTTTTTCACTTATATTGGTATTGGTGTGATATTGTTAGTTCTGAACTGCTCCAGTCTGTGTGCCCATGTGTCATTCCCAGTTTGCCCTCAGTGCACCATATTATTATCATTATTTTTAACAAACTCATGAGTAAAAATGGAAGAATGCTTACGAGGAGACCATTTTCTCATTGCTATGCACAAATGTCTGCGTCTCAAAACATTACAATTTACAAATGTGATAAAAACGTTGAACAGCAGGTCATTGTGCAGTTCCTCTCATTGATGGTAAACTGTAAAAATGTCAGTGTGATTTCTCTCTTTATATTGCCTTCAAATTTTTATACATACATTTCTGAATAAGTTAACGTATAAGTAGGGATGGTACAAAATCTCTAGCCACAAGATCACGTGAGACAAAATTACCACAAGATCGTGCACACATGAAAAAAATTATCTTGTGAGTTTTTCCCCCCAAGTGTTTATATTTGGATTGGACAAAAAAGGGTTACGTATCGCTAAGTTACATCTCTTGTAATTCCAAAACGCAATGCTTAAATAGCACAATATAACACAAATATTAAATAAAATGTAAAAAAAGAAAAATTGGAAACTGAATCACAAAATGTATATATTATGAATTATGTCACTGGAATTAATCTCTTCTTGTCTCGTTTTTGTGGACCCAATCTGGTCTCTTGTCTCATCTTGTGGATATGGTGTCTCCAGTGTTAAAGAGAGCCAAAGAGGAAAAGTTTAAATGTTTGTCCAGTTGACAGACCTGGACAACTGACGGATTACAGACTTTTTCACAAAATATATAATTAAAACATATAAACTCTTTTTTAAAAATCTTTGGCTCGCTATAACACTACTTATTTATATGTTACTTATTTAAAAATGTATGTATAAAAATCCAAAGGCAATATAAAGAGAGAAATTACACTGGCAGTTTTACAATTTACCATTAATGAGCAGAACTGCACAGTGACTTGCTGTTCAACTTTTTTTTTTTTTTATCACATTTGTAAATTGTAGTGTGGGAAGTTGGCCCAATGTGGTCAAAGTAGGAGGCAGACTAAAAACAAAAAGTGTCTTTGACCAGTCAATTTATTAAAATAGACTTCTGGTGTAATGTAAAGTAAATTAATTACAAACAAACTGTTCAAATAAACAGAAAATAAGATACTTGAATTAAATGAAATCAAAAGCAGCAACACCCTACACCCAACTGCACAGAAGCCTCTCCCCTCTCTTGATAAAACCTTGCTTTTATACCCCCAGCAGGAAGAATTTCCCCCAGGTAAGTATCAGTTCCTTTACAGGTAGCTTTCAAAAGCCTAACGCTAGGATTTCATTTACATGGCCCTAATTCCCCTTTTAAATCAAAATGTTTAACATAAACTAAAGTGTGTTGAAAACAAATGATTAAAACGAAATAAACAAAAACAATAAAACAGAACAGAACTTAGTTCTTCCCTCCACATTATCCAGCCCACAACCTCCTCCCAAGGTTTTAAAAAGGGCCGACATGGGACATGCCTCTCTTTTGTCTGGACCACGTGGAGCTGCAGATAAATATAGTCAATATGGATGTAACTGAAATTAACAAATAAAGTACATTAAAATTAACAATGTGTTACGTGATAATTAACAAAAAGAACTAAGAATTATATGTAACTGTTAGGTAGGATATGGTAACAAATTAATGTGTGAAATTTAACAAATTAATGTTAAAGGCCCACTTTGTCACAATATAGTCATGTTTGAACAGATGGTCCGTAAGTGTGAGACGTAGACACTTCTTTACACAGTCTACACAGTCATCTTTAGCCTAATGTCTCTTCTTCTATTTACATTTAAAAAAAGAAAAAGTGATGCACTGATGAGAAATTGGGAATGATGCATGCACACAGACTGGAGACTTCATTTTGAAATTCAGTTTGACAAAGGTTTTAATTAACTTTAGTCCAATTGATAGAACTGAATTTTTCTTTTGGTATTTTGTGAAAACCCACTTGTATTGTATTATAGTGAGCTGTATCCCAATCCCAATCACTGTACAAGGAGAGGAGGAGGCTTAAAACCTGAAATAGATTATCACATTTTTTTATTTTTATTTCTTTAAGAGTATGAGTATCAAATTAAGGTATGTACTTTTTTAGTTTAATTTAACTAAAATTATTGTGTCAAAAAGTATGGTAATATGGTAATATCCATTTTGCAGAACAGCCTGATCACATATCACAGCATTTCCAGATTCGGCAGCTTCATAAAGATGATTTTTTTCCCCCTTCTTGTCCTCCATATCAGTGGATTTGCAATGTCGAAGAAAATACAAATAAATACATAAATGCATTTTAAATGGTTCACTTGTCATTTGCATTTGTTACGAACCATAGGGTGTTACAGCCGTATTTATAGGCTCCGCACAACCATGCAACAATAAACCATTAAAAAAAAAAAAAAAAAAAAAATATATATATATATATTATATATATATATATATATATATATATATATATATATATATAATATATATATATATAATATCTCAATTACAAAAAGGAAAACAAAAATAAATGATAGCCCAAAGCAGAACACCACCACCCAAAGTTATTGGACAACAGCTGAAAGCATAAAAAACACCCAAAACTAATTTATTGTCCAGTTAAAAGTGAGGGGAAAAAAAACTGCCCATTAAAAAAAAATAGGCCCCGCTTACTTCATCGGCGTGCAGACAGAAAGAGCGCACAGGTTTTGAGACTTGCACAACCAAGACCGGGGAACTAGTCACCTTTTCAGCACCGGACAGCTCCACGACATGACAACTTTTACCAGTGCTGTGGTCAGAAGAAACAGGCTTGTGTGTCAGGACGTATTCATCCACGAGCACGGCAGCTTTAAACACATCAGAGGCTTTATTTTCGTTCAGATAGGTGGCCACTTTTCCAGGAAGACATTTTTAAAATTCCTCCATTAATACTAGCTGTTTTAGATGCGCAAAGTCATCAATATTCTGTGAGGAACACCACCGATCAAACGGTATTTCTTTCTCCCTGATAAACTCAACGTAAGTCTGGTCTTCTCGTTTCGTTAAGTTGCGAAATTTCTGCCGATATACCAAAAGGCACGCGCAACAAAAAAAAAAAAACAAACAAACAAACAAAAAAAAAAAAAACTACCCATATACCACAGTCTTGGTCAGACGTCGACAAGTCTTACCTGCCCCAAACTAGCCTATTTCACAAAGAATTACAACAAGTTGCCTACAAAAAAGTAACCAAGGACACAAAATAGCTACGTCTACTTTTTTGTACATTTAACTTTTTTTGACGAGCCCCCATAAATATATTACGACTCGAAGGGCAACATATTTAAAAGGACACAGGAGTCAAAAGTTAGCTTTTTCATTTCTTAAATTTTTTATCTTATTTTCTAGTTGTTGGTGTTTTTTTTTTTTTTTTTTTTTTTTTTAAGATTTTAAAGAAATAAAAAGACCCTCCTGTGCC